TCCGGCCCGGCCCGGCCCCTGGGGCAGCCTCCGCACGACCAGCCGGGCTGGGGAGCGGGTAGAAAACAGCTTTCCCTCGGTATCCATAAAACCTGGAGGCAGGGAGGCACGGGAGAGGGCAGGGAGCGGAGGCTGCGCCTACAGCGCTCCCGCGCAGACGGCGTGGAACTAACCGTGCAGCAAGGGAAGATGGCGCAGGGGCTGTTAAACGCCAGGCCTCGAAAGCAGTGCTGCTTGTTCTCATACCATCCGCCACCTTCCATCAAACCGCCACCTTCCCTTCCTCCCTTCCCTAAGCAAAACCTGTTGGTCTGCACTCCCCCGCGATCTTCATTTTCCCCATGTGGCAGCAGCGTAAGGAACCCTATATTCTGCTAACCATACATCTAGGTTGGATGCTCCTCCATAAGACTGAAGTGAACATTCCCACTGCTACATTTTCCAGTATTTTTTTTCCCCAGATGACTCCTGTACTGTACAGCTTCCTATTGACTGAAGCACCAAGCTCTTGCCTGTACATGGCTCAGCACAGCTGGCAACAGAACCAGGCCCTGCAGCAAGTTTCAATTCTCTTGGCAGCACGTGCTCTCCAACGATGCCTCTGCAAAAGAGGACAGTGCACAAGCAACAGTGCATCTTCTGATCCAAGGCAGAATTTGGAAACAAGTCTTTTAAAGAGTTAAGCAAAACTCTGGAAGGCTGAAGGCATTAAGAAGCAACACATCCAACTGGAACTGATGTTTACACAAGCATGGGAAATAAGCAAAACTATAAAGGTTGGTATTTGCAACCTGCAAGAGAGTGAAATGTTGAAGAGAAAGAGAGATCAGGGCATATCTTCCAGGAGGACACAGCACACTGGTCTGACAGTTTGGCATAATGTGGAGCCACTTGCATATCAGCAAAACATTCCAACATCACCCAAATTGTGTATGTAACTATAGAAAAATACATGGAATTCATTTCACTCCCAGTATTTTAACTGGATCTCAGGCCAATCCAAAATCTGTTGGATTGTTATTTTGTTAAGGAGGCACAGTGGGAGAAGATACATCTCCTTTCATCTCCTCCAAGCCCTGTACAAGCTGTAATGCTTCCAGATCAGTTCTGACAGGCTTTGAACAAAGGCTGTACCTGCCTTTAAATACTCATACTCCCTCAAAACAGCAATTCTGTTCTCCAAGTTAAAACTTACTAAATTATATTGCATCTACTTTTACTGTTTAATTTCTCCCTCAGACTAATTCCCTGCTCAGGGATGCAGATCAGCACATCCAAATGGTCCCTGAATGGTTTAGGTCCCCCAGTTGTTTCCAAGATCTTCTGCGCTCCTGAAGGAAAGTAATAAAGCTTAAAATATGAATCTAGAAGTACATAGGAGACAAGCTAAATAAAAAAGAAGAAACCACAAACTGAAGGCAAACAGAATATTAGCCATTTTGTTTAATGTTGTAGAAAAAAAAAAAAGCTATTACAATGAATTGATGAGCACACCTATAACATATTGTCATCCCACTACCTAAACAGCTGTGAATCACTTCTCTATTCATACTGTGGAAAGTTTAGTAGCCTTCAGGAAAAGCATGACATAAAAAAAATTAAAAAAAAAAAAAAAAAAAGTGTCACACGTGTTCTTTTCTCTACTTTTTAAAGCTGTGCTCACAGAGACGGCTTCTTCTCTCAGACTCTTCAGGTATGCAGGACCTCAGTTGTAAATAAAGTTGAACCTAAAATTAAAGGGATGTGAAAATTCCTCACCAAGTGACATTTTGGAATAAATAAGCAAACATTTCATTTTTGTGCTTGGTAAGCCTCCATCTGACAGAACAAAGGTGTATTTTTTGGTAAGACAGCTTTATGATAGAGCAGGAAGCATAATTTTTAACAACCAATCCTACATAAGCATTGCACAGCAGTCTCTTAGAAGAGCCTCATAGCTATGAAAATACCAGTGAGAGTTACATTCCCCCATCATCAGCAACTGTTTTGCTGCATTTCAGCTACCAGGGCCAACCTTCTATACTCCAAGGGTGACATACGGACATACTCAACAGCAGAGCTAATTCTTCTCAGCTAAGTTCCCCAGTGATGAGCATTCCCACCATGAAAGCAAGCATCTCTCTCAGCTTCCAGATGCCCATCCCTTGGATGGGTCTGGTACCACACTGATACGTGGCTGCAGAATATCCCCCATAGCCACAATTGTCAAAATTGGGGCTATATAGAGAAAAACCCCATTCTGGTAACAGACCTTTTTTTTTTTTTCATTCTAGTAAGTGGATAGCGGAACTACTTCCCTGAGTAACAGCTGGCAGGCTGTGGGACACCTGGAGCTCCTGAACATTTGCTGAAGTAATAGAAACTGGTGAGACTAGTGAGCTCTGGAGACCCAAGGGGCAAGCCATGTTCAGGTAAAAATGCCAGAGAGTGTGTACTTTGGGAAAAGGAAGAAAAAAAATACAGCTGTCCATACAGATACTTATGACAAAGATGCTACATGTTATATACTCTACTACAGAGTCTAGAAAATCCCACCATATTTAACCATCATGAAGCTGTGGTAACATGCACACCTAAGGGCTTCAAACACACATCTTTGCTTTTACTCTCATGGTACCCCTAACAGTTACAAAGAGCTGCTCCTTATCCTGTGCACAGCTTCAACCTCACCATCCTTCCATCTTCCTTTGCTATAACCTGCTAGATATGACTCTGGTGCAAGCAAGTTGTGATAAGTGCCTCTAAATTGTCCATTATACCTTGTCAGAGGTACATTCTAAGTGCTCTTTGGAACAGCTGTAACCTTTTTCAAGTTGGTTTCTGTGATGTCCCACAGCAAATGCGTTCCCAAGAACCAAAATACAAGCAAATCAAAATATACCTGCTCAAAAGTTGAGGAAGGCTGGAAATAATGGGTCCATATCCTGGTGCATTGTCATAGAGCTCAAACAATGGTGCAGCAACCAGCTTGTAATTTTTGGGGACTGCAAACAGAGCTAAAACCAAATACAAGTTGATTAATGAGAAAAGCCACCACACATTCTGCCAAGAGATCATCACCCCCTTCCCTCCCCACCTCTAAACAGGGTCACTACCTATAACACCACAGAAGGTTTATTCCTTTTTTAATCAAATATGGGGTTCATATGCTGTACCTACAGC